ATGGGATATTATGGATTTTTGATGCTATATGACATGTATATCACGGAAAACCATGTCACTCATATCTGTCTGTCTATATGTACGCTAACCCTTGGGAAGTATCGCTCATTGGGCCGAATATAATCCTTCATGGAAAGAAACTAATGATAATTTCATAAAATTTCGCCTTTATTCCGAACATGTTTTGCATTGTACATCTTTTATGTGCCGCTTTCTGATATAATAATAATAATAATTTACTGCCATAAGATTTATAGTAGTAATCAGAGACAATATCAACATGAGAAGACAAAAACACTTTGATGGCACAATTTCACATTCAAAAGCATCATAACCATACGTACACACAAAAATATTACATCAAAAAAGCTATGGACCATTAAAATATTCATTCAGTGAATAAAAGAACTTGTATTTTGATGTTTTTTGAAGCCATATGTATTTGTGCAGTCTTTTATACATACTGGCCAAGCATTGGAAATTTTTACACCGTTATAGTATGGGCTTTGCTCATATAACCAGGTTTTATCATTGGACACACTTAGATTGTTACAGTTTCCAATAATCATATTATTATAATAACTGTTTTTATTGTATTTATCGAGGTTTAGTTTTGTACCAATACATATACTCAATATGTATCCAGCGTGTTTCAAATTCGACCCTCATCATTGGGATCTCGAAAACTGTAAGAGATACGAAGTCGTTTATATGGGAATTTTCCCAAAACCGTTTTAACTCTTCCTGACTTTATTTGTGGTGGGATTTAAGAACAAATTGCACATTAACATTGCCGCTTTTTCTCCTCTACAGGGCAGCATAACTAGAATTTCAATATGACGTTTCGTCCCTTGTCTTCCAGCAGATGAATAGGGTTTTTATTACTGATTCCAATGGATTGGCAATGTCAATGTTCGGCATATTGGGGAATTTCTGAAATCAGAATCAAAAACTCTATTCATCTGCGTAGAAATCCAATATGGCGTCCATAAGAAAAAATAAAGTTAAGCTGGAGCACAAGAGATGAAACGTTATATTCAAATTACAATCATGCTATCATGTGGAGGAGAAAAAGTGGCAACGTTAAAATGCAATTTATTATGAAATCCCATCTCAAATGATGTTGAGAAAGAATAAAAGTGATTTTGGGATGAATCTGGTAGGCGAAACAATTGACTGTCTGATAATCTCAAGGCCAACAGATGAAATTGTGCTTTTCTTGAAATAACTACGGTTGGCCGTCATCAATGTGTGACATGTCATACATTTTTGGAATCCGAATTAAAAACTCTATTTATCTGTACAAAAATCCAATCTGGCGCCTATAAGAAAAAATAAAGTTGACGCTGGAGGACGAGAGGTGAAACGTCATATTGAAATTCTAATTATGCCATCTGGTAGAGAAGAAAAAGGTACAACGTTAATGTGCAATTTATTTTAAAATCCCACTACAAATAAAGTCAGGAAAAATTAAAACGGTTTTGGGAACATTCGGGTTTTTCCGTTTCTCGCCGGAAGTAGTTTGAATTTCAAAATTTTATAAGCGGAATTTTGTTGATTTAAGCGATTTCGTATCTCTTCCAGTTTCCAAGATCCCAATGGTAAGGATCGAATTTGAAACACCCTGTGTGTATATACATGGTACTGTCAATATTTTTAATACCATGTATATACATATTGAGTAAATGTGACACAAAGCTAAACCTCGATAAATACAGGAAGAACAGCTATCTACCGATGCTTAGGATACTTGTATATGTTTATGTAGAACGTTGCTTCAAATCACTGACTTCGTATTTTTCACCATTCCTATTGGGGACTACCTAACATCACTTTTTATCTAATTTTAACAGATTTGGTCCATTATTACATTTAAACCGATGTTACAATTTATACGAAAACCGACGGTAAAAACGTTCATTATTCAACTACTTTATTGCTGTAGCATTTTTCATTAACTAAATATTCTGCTTCTGCCGAGCGTTGTGATGAACTCCCAACATCCACTTCAGCTTCGGCAAAAAAAATCAGTGACAGTACTGTACCTTATCTAATGAGAGGCAGCCAATCACGTCCGGTCTTCGTGGATGACCGAGCTTTGCCAAGAGGCCATTCGTTTAGGCTTGTGTGAGTTTAGAGCACAGTGGACTTGGCAAACACGAAAGGTGCTTATATGACACTTGATTTCCTTCCCTATTTCTAATAACATTATGTAGTTAGATGAACATTATGTCTTCAATTTTTAAAAAGTGTGTTTAACCACACTTCAGGGTGTCCAACTGATATAGGAATTTCTAGTTTTTATATCTACTATGAAACTGATGTGAGACTCACTATGAAACAACTTACTAAAGCTACAAATAAAAAATTTCCACTGAAACCATCTGGGGATCGAGCTAAAAAGTCTGTCTGGGAGTTGTTATTTATTGGTTCATTTACCTTACATGCGATGATACGCCGAAAACTATATATCAAAATAATGCTAGCGTCGTCCTTGATCGAAGCTATATACCTGTAATCTTTTTCGGCAGCTGTTAGCAAGATCAAGTGGTTTTTTGCTATCGAACGTTTTGTATTCGTGGTTAAGTGTTCATCAACTTACAATCAGTGGTTGGCAGGCTTCGCTGTAGAGATATTATCGTATTGGGCTTCAAAGACGGAATCAAGTAGATTGACTTAGCGCTTCTCAGGTGTTTCCAAGTTATGTCAAAGAGAGTTTTTGTGCATTGGAAACACTCACTCCTGTATAAATTCAAGATTGAGAAACTTATCAGAAAAATTCAAAGGCAGATCCAGCACTTAAAAATATGAATAAAGTTTAGATTATCATGTTTCCAGGATGCGGGGCTGTTTATACTTTGTTTTTATGTTTTTACGCTAGTGGTACTAAAAAAAAGGTGCTTCTTGAAGTAATGTTCTTTATGAAAAGTACTAGCTCGTACTTGTTCAATAACGACATATTGTTGATCTGGTGAGTGAAATTATTATGTTTTCCCAAACGGTGTGTCTGAACGGAAAATTCTTAGAGTCAATGCTTGGGTAGGATCATTCTGGCTTTAAGATAATCATACCATATTTTTGCAAAACCAAGTCGCGTACTGTGTTTTGTAGTACACAGAAACTTAACATTGTATTGGAAAACAATTGTGCACAGGTTAGTGTTACGTTCCATAAGACACCTTGTTGTACTATACAGGTAGTTCATCTCAAAATCCTTATAGCAATTTCCCAGAAATGTAAGGTGACTTTAACAACAGACTAGTATAAGTCCTATTATAAAACGCAAGTATTTTGGGCACTTGTTTATACGCGCCTACTGGCGGGGAAGTATTGCAATCGCGAAAATTTTTGAAAACGAGATAATATGTTTTTGCGTTGGTCCATCTGTCTCTCTGTCTGTCGGACTGTGAGGTAATATTATAACTGCCTATAACTTTAGAAGTACCGCTCGGATTCCGAAGAAATTCTTAAACAATTTTACTACTATGCCAAAGACGCAAAAGCGTTGTAGTTTTTGAATATCCGTCTAGTGGCGGCGGAGAAAAGGGCCTAAACCAAAAAACGTAAAAAAGGGGTAAGGGTAAGGGTTTATATCAATTTGTTTTGTTAATACATTTATACGATTCCAACATTGGTATTTCTATGCACCTTTTAGACATATTTCACAGATCATAGATTTTTCTGTACATTAGCCCTCAAGACTTTGAAAAATATTCTCGGCAGACGAATCCCGTATCTACGAGCCGCGGCTGCTGCTTGCGTCGTAGCGCTGCCCTTGATGAGTGGTCTGGTATGTCTATTTCACAGGGAAATAATGAGTACGGACTAATTGTATGGAGTTGTTTGACGGACTTTTTTCTAATAGGGTCTGGTTTTTGCTTTATGAACTGATAAGGGGAAGTACAGGGTCAACCTACTTGACGTAGTTTTGTATATCCTAAAGTTTTGAACGTACCCAAAGGGCAAACACATTTTCAAAAAATCTTATTCTTATTAACCTGTTAACGCTATTTGAAAATCATATAACTTTTTCAGCGACTTGACCGATATGCATCAATAGACCGATTGAGTCTTCAACAAAAGTTTTGCAACATTCTGTTGCTCACCCACACGTTTACCCCTCGTCCCTCATGGCGTCCAAACAGATGTACAGATTTTCGTCAAATATAGCTGACGATCACGACAAACAAGATTAAAAGACGCACTTTCTCCGTTTCAATAGTTAAGAATCAACTGACAGTAGTTTCATACATTACCGCGTACTGTGAGTTACAAGTTGATTGAATTGACAGAACTCGTTAAAACGTTATTATTTATACATCTTTTTACAAGCAATAAAAGTACAGTTTTAGAAAAATCGCAGGTGTGTACATTGTCAGCAAGCAATTTCGACACCGTTATGTAAATATCGGGGAAAATATTTTCTTCGTACGTCGTACGTTGGTCACACGTCATGCCGTACGCACGCAACCGTATCACACTAAAATAAAACCGCAATACCAGCATCTTCCTATCACTTCCTAGCTTCCGCCGTAGGTATCAATCTACTGGTGTTGGGTATGTTGTAGTATGTATCGCAATCATTTCACTTCGCAGTTCAGTACAGTCAGTCTAATAAAATTTCTGACAAAAGAGGATCATCAACAGAAAACAATTCTTGAGGGGATGGTTGATGTTTATGGGGATAATGCAGCATCTTATTACAGAATGAAATTTTGGTTGAAACAGTTTCCATAGAAGACGATCCCAGAACTAGAATATTCGAAACAGCAACAAATCATGAAATGACTCAAAAAGTCGAAGCTGTGATTCTCGAAGGTCTTCGTGTGAATGTCTCTACCATTACTATGGCATTGAATATATCAGAACCTAGCGTAATAACCATCTTGCACGAAAACGAGTAAGGTGTCAGCCAGGTGGGTTCAACGGCTGTTGACACCTGAACAAAAATTGGAAATTTCAGAAAGTCAGTTGGAGACTTTGATTCTAAATTTTTGACACAAATTATGACGGGAGCAACATTGGGATTCTGGGGCAAAATCAAAATCGAAGCAAAGGGCTCATGCATAAATTATCAACAAAACCGTATGCAGCTTCTTGTCAGCGTATAATCTAATCAACGCATTTACTAGCAAATAGCAAGACATACAAGTGCCAACACGTCGTCAGAGTTTGTTACAGTGACTTATATGAATTTGGCCCAGATGGTGACGCGTGAGGAGACTTGGGTGCATCATTGGGATCCAGAGACAAAAACAGAATACAAGCAGTGGGTTCATGAAGGGTCTCCTGGAAAATTAATAACAACAGTTTTCTGGGACAGGCTCAAAAATATAGGTAAAGCAACAAACTAGAAAAGATCCTATTTTTCGAATTGTGAAATGTTTCTGTTCCCATGTGACCGTGCATAAGCCAAAATTAGGAATGTAGCTTCATTGACATACACCATCCTTTCTATACTCCGGACTTGGCTCCCTCTGACTTTTGTCTCTTTATACTACTAACGAAAAATCTTCCACTCAGATGATGGCCCAGAAGTAGCCATAGACGACTATTTTCAGAGTCAAGAGGAGGCATTTTGTTATAAGGGGATGAGTTTACTGGAGGAGAAAGTGCATGCATGTAGGGGGCTTTACATTGAAAAATGAAGTTCTCAAAAAAAATCGTCCGTCTTTTGTTTTTTTTGACTAGGTAGATTTCTCTTCTAGCATGTTCGTGCGAGAAAAATTTTGAAACTGAATTTTGAACTAGTTAATCTTAACCAGTTTATACAGGGTGCGGCAGAGAGGATGGACGGTTTTAAAAAAATCATAAAATAGTTAATTTTTACTCGAAAACAAATTTATTGATGGAATCAGGTTCACAAGGAAATAGCATTTGAGACAGTCAAGTGTGGAAAATCACATCAGGCATGTGGTGGCCGAAATCGTTGATGCAGTGCTGGAGGCGTTCTTGGAAGTTCGCGTAGACTGTCTCCAACATCGCTCTCTCAACTGGGCGACTTCCACGCGAATTTCGCCTTCAATTTGTCCAGAGTTCGGGGCTTGTTCGCGTATACTCTAGCCTTGAGGTGTCCCCATAAGACAAAATGAGGTTCTCATTTTGATCGATCACCGCTTCCATCTCACGTGCGAAGTTCATTCGTTGTGCAAAATCTCCGGGCTGTAATTGTTGCACAATGGCCAATTTGTAGGAGTGAAAGCGGAGTTCCATATACAAAATTCGCCTTTCCGAACGATCACTAAGGCGAAGTGCAGCAGCATGTTTCCGGGCAGATCGAGTCGGACTGCGAAGAAAGACCTGTCGAACGCGTTCAACATTTTGAGGAGTTCGAACTTTTCGCGGCGCTCCTCTTGGTCTTCTGTTGATCAGTTCACCACGCCTGCGAAGTGATTCAACCCAACGAAGGATGGTGTTTCGAGAGGGAACAGCTCTATTCCGATGAATGTTGAAGTGGCGACGAAACTCACGCTGTACGACGATGACAGACTCATTATTTCGGACGAAATAATAATAGGCGAAAACGCGGTGCTCCACCGTCCAAGGCTCCATAACGACAACTGGAAAAATAATGCTAGGATCTCACGAGTCAAACGGCACCCTCCCCCCACCTCTCTCGTAGACGGAGGCGGAGAGTACTACCCATCCCCAAAAACGTCCGTCGTCTATGCCGCACCCTTTATAAACGTTTAGTCCAATACACAATAAGTTAAATGTGGTCATTTGAAATTTAATATGGCGGACGTTAAAAAATGAAGATTTTTAATTTCCATAGTCAACTCCATAATATGGGAATAAATTGAACGAGCTAATGAGAGAAACAATAAGCGAATTGACGTCATCCTAATCCTAAGTCCAGTATGGCTAAATGACTATAATTTCTTTAGTGTAAAACGTATCAATGCCAGAAAATAAAACTGGCGGATATTATCGACAGTTTATTTTTACTTTAATATTTACAGAAAGTGAATGATAGTCTTTTATTCCTCAACTTTTGTGCAGGAGCAGCTGTTTTGAATATTGGTTTCTGCAGTGCAATTTCCCCTATAATAGTTAAGCGCAGCATATGGTACAGTTAGTTGATCTGTTCACTTGTTTCGTAAGATATTGGTGACCTAAAAAAAAGATAAGTTTGCGATGAGGAATACTGTAGCACGGGAAATACCATGTTCCAGCATAGCAAAATATCTTACTACAACATGGGGGAATATTATCATTTCCTATTAAAAATAGGCACCACACGCTATTGTTCTGACTGTGGGAGCTTCAGTGCGAGTCTACCCGATCTCATTGAAGAAAATGGAATTTAAAAGTTAAATTTTACTGCAATCAAACAATAAATCTACGTAGATTCTATAATAACTAGACAGACGGAAGTCCTTCTATAATTTATACATAAACTCCAGAGTACTATCAAGAAACGATTGTAGAAATGAATATTTACAAAAATCGAGCATTACCAAATAAATATTATAAGCTTAATTACTGTTACGAAATCTGTTCCATGGAAATATATACGTTTGTAAATCAATTTTCTAGATCAATAATGTATTTGCTTCCTTTTTAGATGAATTAGTTTTCTTTCTACATAAATGTGTTTTTATAATAATCTTGATAATGCGATTGGTTGAAGTATTTATATGGCTTTTAATATTTGTGTGTTGTTGACTTTTCTTATGCTTCATCGAAGTCTCTTGTAAAAATAAATTACCTATTCATTTAATTCATCGATAAATGGTTAGTAATATCTAACAATGCAACGATGCCAAGCAGCAGAACCTAAAAAACAAAAGTGTCATACTTCGCTTCTTCGAGAATAGTATATACAGTGAGCTACTGGTTTGATTAATTATTTGTTAATTGGGCATCAACTTGAGATTATTTCAGCATGCACCTAGCTAATCTATGACATCTTATATTGCAGGACATTTGCGCTGAAGCTGTCAGAATCAGGTATGTTTCTACAAAGTGCATTCACTAATTTCCATTGCAATCAGGTATCCAGTCGCTGGTACCAAGTCCTTTTGCACCAAAACTATAGGAACAAACAAACGATTCTGAAAAATATTGATTTCTGGCAGAATGCTAGAAGAATAATCAGATCAAAACGAGAGCAAATATTTCTATTGCAGATGTTATAGAAAAATGAAATGTTTGAGAATATTTGAATGAAAGCTCTACCAAAAACGAATAAAGCTATGGGAGATAGTTAATTGATAATTAGAAGCTACAGACCACTCAGTGAAGTTGATAGTGACTGTCATATGTAAGTCAGATGGGACAAAATTATTTGAGCTACTACACTTTTGCTTTAGGTTGGTCGGAAAAATATTTTTACGTATTATAAATACAACTTTAGTAGACATGATGGATGCTTCTGAGGAACTACGTTGAAAAACACTGCTCGTATTATATTTGTTTATGTACTTACAGCTCTCGAGATAAAGCTTCTATTATTCGAATTAACTTGTAGATGTATAGAGCTGAATTTAATAAATTATTAATTATGAGCTTATAACTAATTCAGTTCCAAAGGTGACTTGGATAAGTCCTGTGTTTGTATCCAAACTTCACAAGAGAAAACCGGGTCCTGTTAGGCTCTAACTAATAAGACAGTAGAAAAATTCCAAAGAGAAACAGTTAATATGTTGATTTTATTCAGCGATTATTACCTTACAAGTTCTGCTCTATGAGTTCAGTATCAAATACGAACAAACTTAGCGTCTTCTAATTGCTAACTACACTCATTCTGTTTCATTTAATTTGTACTACTTTACATTAACTTGAATTCATTAATATCTAGTGTTTTTCTTTTATTACGTTCACTGTTCATTGATCACAATGCGATGGTATGTTGGTTACCATGTGCGTGTTCGTGTATGTTTTGAAATTATAATTGTATGTTTGTTTGTTTCTTTGTTTGTTTTATTTCCCACCAAGATGGTTGCATAAAACCATGGGAAAACAAGACTGCAATGTTAATCTTGTGACGAAATTTTAGAAAATTCCCCAGGATTGTTTTTGGGCGACCTTGGGAATGTTTTACTGGTTGATCGTGTAATCCAACAAAACGTTGATTGTTCGTTGGTGTATTGCAATTTGTTGCCTGCGTCTTTTCAAAAGATACTGGAATAATTCTCAGTCTTAACAAGGTTGTATTAAACTTTCACCTAGGCCTAAAATTAGCCTTTCAAGATTTTGATTTGGAATGTTGACGATGCATATAAGACCAGTTTTGGTACTTGGGAACGCAAACTTCTAATATGAAGTGTGAATTGATGTGACGTTGTCAGCATAGAAATGAACAAATCAAGGTTGACAGTGAATGTACTCTCATCTTTATTCTATCGGTTTTATATTCATGTAGAAATACGGAAAGCGAATCTTCTTTCCATTTTCTTCATATAATATTCGTGGGAGGATTCCAGCAAGGTAGCGCTTGAATTTTTCAATATGAAATTGGCTGTATCTCAATAACTGTGTTTTGTTAGAGTAGTAGTTGTATTTAGTCATAATTTATGGATAATCCTGAAGCTATCGACATTGGTATTGTAATGACACATTTTTTGTTATACGAATAGAAATCGAATCTTTGGTTATACCTTATCACATTATGAGTAACTTTAGTGTTTCCAAAAGTTATTAAAATTATTGAGTTCAGATACAGGATCATGAAGCTTGAAGGGAACTAAGATTCAATACAAATCTTAAGAAGGGTGGAAGTGCATTAATAAACTAATATCAAACAATTGAGATGAACCCTTCGCCGTCCCGTATAACCCCCAACTTTTAACCACTACAAAAATTATTCTAAAAATGATCACCAGAGTCTGAAATTCCCAAAAACGATGTTTAAGACATTTTTATTTTTTAGTTGTTTGGTCTTCACTCTACTGGACCGATTTTCAAAGACAAGCTTTTCTTTATTGGTGTAATAATTACCTTGTGCAAAAATTTTATCAAAATCCTTGCCAATGTCGTATAAACTAAAAGGTAACTCTTATCTGCAGTTGACCGTTTTCGAGTTAAAAACCTTCCCCTACAAGACCTGATGAATATTTTAGGGGCATTGCAATTTAATTGTTAATAACTCGCGATGGACGACCCGACCGCGTCTGCGACAGTGCGTCTTACCAGGCAGCCATTTTCAAGATTTCTTAGACTTTGAATCGATGATCCAAAAAAAACCTAAAATAACTTTGCGAAAGCACTGATTATTTGTAATTTACTTAACAAATTGTTTGGGATCAAAACGATGTTATTTAGATTAGTTCTCCAATAAGTCGTTATATTTATGACTAGCCTTCTGAACCGCGGGTCATTACCTAAACACAATATTTTATGTTAGTAATAGTCTCATGCATATGAAGTCGCCGGTAAGATCTAGTGCAAAATACAACGTCGGTATCGCTTGACGGTCACAGGTTGAGTGGCGCGACGGCAGGCTGCGATGTTGCCGGTTTGACGCTAACGGTTGAGATGTTGGTACTTACATCGACAGTTGATTACAAAATCGTCGATGGGTTCGCAGATAATACCGTGCAAATAACCTTCCTTGAGTATCAATTAGCAAATTTGCACATTTTTACCTCTCTCTGTAGTGCGGTTCGGACTTGATGCTGACAGAGTGGACAGATATTCATATTTATACAGGGTGTCCTGGCAGTTAGGACTTTCCTTTTCATAAACAACTACGTTTGTAATAACAAAGCTAATGTGTGGTGAAAGGACATCGACAACGTAAATAAAATAAATGAAACAATCTCAACTGTCCATGGAAAAGAAATTTGAAGTACAGCTCTGACATTCATATGCTAAATATTTCATGTCGCCAAAAACAAAAAAAGAATCACAAGGGATCTCGAAAAATGATCTGCATGCACTCACGAAGCCTCGGAAGCATTTTGCAGACACTCACCGTTAATTAAAATAATTGGACAACTATTACTGTATCAGTCTGCCCTTTTCGTTTTGTTTTTTAGAACCGACTTGTAAACGCGACCAGCGCCTGGATGGAGTACTGATGCGCATCGTAAGTGTTCACGTGCATGACCGGATTAGGTTTTGCTTAGGCTTGATTAATTTTATGGAGCCTGACATCTAGGTAATCTTGAGACTTTGGCGTTTATGTTACTAAAAAAAAAAACTGCTCAGTTTTTCAAGATCTATACACCGAGTAAAGGAAAGTCCCAACTTTGAGGACACCCTATACATAGAGAATATGTAGCATCCACTAATTGTATCATGCCGTGCTTTATCGTAATACACCAGATACTTTAATAAGTCCACATTTTTCGTCTCCGCGACATGGTTCATTTAATTTTCATAAAACATGAATACCTACTTAAACTTTATCTTGTCATTTTCGAAGCGGTAGAATGCAAAAAAAGAAACGGCCTTTTGAGGATGACGATAAGAAGTGTTCATATCAGCAAGGTGGAAAAAGTGTATCAAGTATGCCACTCGATTCTGTGAAACCCGTTTTGGGTCATTACTTTCCATCTGCGAAGATTATTAGTATTTTATGCACAACATTATTATATTTCACTTGAATAGGTCGTTTATTTTCATTTTAGTTGACATGGTCTGTAAATTTTATTATTGAAATTAAACGTTTTTTTAGACCGTGATGAATTCTCATATCCAACCAAGAGCAAGAGTAAGTAGAGGTAACTTATTCGATTCAACCTCTATAAAGTCTTATACATGGTGAAGCGGTATGTTACCAGTAAAGTTTACTGCCAGTTACAACACATATGATATAGGTTTTTGCAAAAAGAAGTGTGGATCTCTCAAAATCATATTGGTCCCGCTTAGAAAGTGTTCTTTCTTATTTGAGATATGTACTTTGAAAAACTACTCCCGTTTCGGCACATTATTGAAGAGTCAATTCTACATATATGGTTTGATTCAACATCCAGAAAACTTATCAATATAATTATGTTGCAAATGGTGCGCTTGATAAAAAAAATAGTTAGAATCAACCTGGTTTCAAAATATTGGTATTACTTTTTTTGCAAAATCCAATGACGTATTATTTATTCATTAACCATCGATATTTGCCGGTACGAATGCCACAGACACAAAGTATGTGGAAAACAATTTTATACATAAGGTACCTAATCTAAAAAATGTCTCACAAATGTATCATAAATGTCCTTTGTGTACTTGAACAAATTTAACAGTCTATGGAAGTTTTGCGTTAATGTTGAATATTATTCATTTGGATAGTTTTCATACAGTTTTACATGTGGTTTTTTTAAGCAGGCATGAAAAGTTTTAGTAAAAATAAATTTCGCTTATCTAAGTCGTCTAAGGACAAAAAAGTCTTACAAAAGTACAATAATTATGCCTTGAATTTTGGTATGACGTTTAGGAATCAGTTTGTATTTTGTATATATACGTATGTATATTTATAATTCTCTTGAACTGCTTCTTTCACCTTACAAATAATAGAAGTACGTACCTCCTGGTATTGCTGCAACATTCAGAGGATGTTTATGGTTCAATGTTCCATGTGTCAATCCATATTTAATGGGCTTGAAATGAAAGAAGGATGGCGAATATCCCGATGCAGCCCTACTGAGGGTACTGAATCTATCCTCCCTGTCCTCAACATACACTCCTTCTTTGCCCATTGCCGCCAACTGTCTCCCTTTGGGCATGAACATTATTAAAAACACTAGTATCGAACACACTATAAGTCCGAAGGCTATACATGCGTCTCGATGTCTTTCGTGCACTATGAGGCCACTGACTGTCCAAACCAACCACGTAGGGATGCAACAACCAACCGACAGTCCTATGAAGGTCGCCTCCCGGTAATTGTCTCTGATCCCTCGGGATTTTACAGCTAGCACGGTTACGAATGAGATCAGAAACACTACGTAGATCAAGGATAAGAGGAAGTCTACGTAAGGGGTGCGACACAGCGGTATCACACTTGGTTTGGAGATATCTTCTGCGGTGACTAGTAGACGGTGTTTGGGAGAAAGATTGTCTACTGTCAGTATATCTACTAACGGTGGGCTGGTAACTAACCACTGCACTCCTATGGCCACTTGAATGAGGATTGCGAAAAGGAGAAGTAGCCCTTGGTAGGGTGCAGGTAGGTATACACCTCCATTAAGGCTTATCAGGAAAACGCACTTAACCAACAGTGAAGCGAAGATTATCGTGTATGATACTCCAGTACCGAATCGCACTATAGCGCAAGTAAGTTGCGTAGGCGTTGCAGCAATTGTCGCAGCAAGGGCTGAGCTGCAGAACAGTCCCAACAGCAGCATCTGTCCTAAGAATAAATGTCTTCTACTAGGGGTGGTCTTCCAGGCTTTACACAGCACAAACACTTCGAACCCGGCGATAAGCAGCATGGTGATAGCGGAAAGAGCCAGCACTGGTATGACCCAGACCTCTTGACGGAAGAAGCCCTGCAAGGCGGCCTTCGTGATGACGGTGGATGGCGTCGCCGTAGGGGTGTTGGAGGTGACGGAAGGTGAAGACGGTACCAGAAAGTACTCAGTACTCATGTCGAGGCGACGCCGGAGCGCCGCGGCGGCTGCGGACGCCGTCCATGAGGAGTTGCTCGCTGTCATCGCGCCGAGTCGCTCTTGGAAGTAGTCGCGAACATGTTGGCGGCCCGGCCGAGGCTGCACTGGCTTTTGGAAGCGCGCACCACGTCTTGCCGGCAAGCAGAAGACGCGCTTTCTGACCTGCTGCAGGTGGGGTGATGCAGATGTGGACAGATTTTTAAAAGCTGGACCACAGATGATGAAATGATGGTCATAAAGTTGTAATGAAATAAAGATAATGCAACGTCGGGAACTTATTTTGTAGTTTTCGTGTTGAGAATCCCTCATGTTTGATTAGACGAATGCGGTATGATTCGGCAAATAAGGATATTGCACGTTATAAGTAGAATATGAATAAATTATCTTCGCTTGGCTAATACAATCCACCTGTCTGTGCGGTTCTGTAGCACATACACGAGAGTTATTTTCAGCTATTCTATAAGGTTAGCTCAGGTGTTCTTTTTGAACTCAAGAGTAAACGAGACATTCACTAATTTGACAGCCTAAACCTGGAATGCAATTATTTTATAGTTTTATTCGTTGCTACCCTCCGGCGCATTAGGCATCAGGATGTCGTTTAGCGTCGACGTATGTACAGCTGGAAACGGTACACAAATATATTATGGCGTTCATAAAGCATGATATTTAATCACACTTCGCTGGTTGACACAGAAAAACGCACTCGCGATAGTTTCACCGTGGAATTTACGCGACGCCATGGCAGTCAGACTCGTCTTCAGTTTTATCGTCTTTGGTCTCACATGAAGGACGACATTAGAGCAGGATCCAATAAACATTGGCCGAAGGTGAAGTGAAAAATGGCTTTGAGTCTGTATTTTACACGATGTAAAAATTGCAACATTGCGTAACTGTTTGTCCATCCTTGACGAAGTAGAGTCAATTATTTTCTACGAGCACCACTACGTGAAGTTTTAATTCTTTATTATTCTGTCAAAATCATTGTCATACATCGTGTATGCAAGGCTGTTCAAGAAGAAACATTCTAGCGGCATTCTCGAGAGGTTTGTGCTCTATAAAGTTATAAAGGGTCCCCTCAGAATATATTTATATGACCACGCTATTTTTTTTTCCGTATTTTGTATGATTCAAAAAATTGCCTACGTACAGGGTGATCCGACAGTTGATACTGTCCCCTTCAGAAACAAATACTTTTGTAATAACAAAACTACTGTGTGCTGGAACAGCAGAGAAAAGGTAAAACAAAAATGAAAAAGTATCCACGGTTCATCGAAAAGAATTTTCATGTACAGCTCTGTCACTTGTAAGTATTGTTCAAAGTTGTCTGCGATAGCAGCAAATTGCATAAATTCGCACACGTAGTTCGTCAACCGTGTTCACCTCAATTTTATTCATTAAACAAAAAAGAGTTCACTAATGATCTTGAAACATAATCTGCTTGCACTCGCCACGGTAGCATTTGGAAGGCAGTGACTGTAACTTAAAATAATATAGACAGTTCCGATACTGCTGTATAAGTATGCCATTTTTTGGTTTTTTTAACCACCTGGTACTGTTGCTCATCGTAGGTGTTCACGTTTTATCTGTTCGACGCGCAGGACCGGATTAGGTTTGGTTTATTTTGCGGAGCCGAACATATTGGTAACCTCTAGACTTGGTGGATAGGTTGCTAGAAAAAACTGCTCATCCTTTGAAGATCTATACGCTGTAAAGGAAAGTCCCAACTGTATATCATGCGACATCGTGAGCGCTCTTTCACAATGCTTCACTTTTTGAACCTCCTGAAAGGACCCGCTGTTATTAAAACATTTGAAGAGCGCAGGGTTGCACCAAATCTATTCTTGTGTTCCACTGAATCATATCAGAATTACACTATTGGAAGAATTTGAAATTTGTTTTCTATAATTCGCATCAAAATCGGTATTTTGGTAGAATAAGACTAGAATCGGTTGATCTACCGAAAAAATCGGTAGATCTGGTAACACCGTCAGACATCGCCTATAAATTAAAGACTAGGTGTTATGACCATCAGAACTGGGCCACATCGTGATATTTGCTGATCCGATTCCATGGTTTCGATTCCGATCTCGGAACCGACTACTTCGATTCGCTTACGATTCCTTTGATTGGTTTGCGATTCCTTTTAGTTCCCATACCTTTCGATCCCAATTTCTTTAATTTCAAAATGTACCACCTATCGGTGTTATAAAGTTATAAAGGAAAGACAACGTAGTAGGAGTCGATTCCTGATTCCGATGAACCCGATTCTCCTCAACATGAACTCAGTGTAGTACCACCAAGTTGATTTTTAATGACCTTTCTCCTACAGTTGCATACAATAATTCTCCTGGATCAAATGAAACGTCAATACCACCAGTGAAAACATCTGGCGATTACTGATTTGCATCCACACTCGTGGCATCTATATCTATGTAGATGTACCTGTCACCATATTTGGATACCCAAATTTGTATTTTGCAACTCTTACTCACTTCTTGTGGTGAATATGGATCCGAATTAGATAATTCACTTAGTATCTATTACATAACTTTTAATGAGTAACAGCGCATATGTTTTGTTTGGAGATCCACATATTTACGTAACTCTTTTTGTATGTAATAATATTACTCTATTCTAAAGTAACAGTAGATGATCGTGACCGACCTGATATTGGACAATGGACTTTATATGGGTTTTCTCATAAAAACCTTTTAAAGCAACATCTTACCTACATTATGGAGCATATGGTTAAGATGCTTAAGAACGGAATTATACGCGAACCAACGGTCCGCTGATATAAAACCAAAATTAATGGACATGCCAAAATGTAGGGATCCGCTTTGCTCATTCCATTGAAGCGTAGATGTTAACGTAAATGCTTCGTGAGTTCCAATGTGAGATAGAGATAGATAAAAAATACGATCAAATTGTTCTACTTCCAATGTCAAGGAATTATGTGAACAAATAATAGAAATAATAAGAAGGTTTTGCTTTTTGGAAGCTGTCAAGCTTTAAGACTCCATCTAAGACATCTGACCGCTCTTTAGCGCAAGTGATGGGAGAATACACTAGACAGTCAATATCAGCTTGCGCGCTTCGTTAGAAGAAGCCATAGACTACTTTTCGCTGTATTGCAATATGTTTATTATATTCCGAGATACAGGAACGAGACAAAAATGAGATACTAGAGAATTTGATGATCTAGAGCTAGACAGTCGTGTTTTTCTTTTTCCGACATCGAACTTGATTCTTTAATCCTAGAAACTACAAGAATTTACAATTTTGAATTCAGCATATTTTTTACAATACCTTTTTTTTAGAAAATCGAATAGCTTCTGTTTTTGTTGGCTCAGCACTGTTGGCAGTAGTGAATCTGATAATACTAGGTATCATCCAAAAATATTATTTACACCGATTATAAGAAATTTCTTCATCTTTGGATCACGTTCCCTAAGTAAAGAGTAATATTTGTTAACTTGGGGCTTACTCCCATAGTGAAGCACCTTGATTGGTTCATGATGAACTTTATTCTATTGAACCTATGTTACTAGGTTTTGCAACATTGGCTAACAGTTTCTAATGTCAATATTGCCGTAGAAGGATCTTTATAAACGATCGGCATGCACTCGCGAAGCCTCGGTAGCATGTCGAAGGTAATCACCGTAAATTAAAATAATATGGACAACGCGGCCAGCGTCTAGATATATATAGGTTTTACTTAAGTTTCATTGATTTTGTGGAGCCTAACAGCTCGCTCATCTTAAAACTTTGGTGTATAGTTTGCTAAAAAAAGATGAAGCTTATTTTTTCAAAATTCATACGCCGGTAAAGGAAAGTCCTAACTTTGAGGACACCATACCACGTATAACATTATTATCATTCTAGTGAAATATGGTACTTCGTCACTTAGAAAACCATAGGATATTTTTTAGATGTTACATACTGAATTTAATTAATAGAACTTAACAGTCTAACAGCCAGATCGCTCTTATCGTCTCTGTTCTTATACAAAACGAAAATGGGCATTTTGATTTCCATTAAGTGCAAGTTTATGTTGATGCCTCAGTTGAGAACATCACTCTGGATTGAGGATACTGACTGGCTATCTGATTTTCTTGGACACAGTTAACTACTTTATCTTACATTTCATACTCCTCCGTACGCAGAAATGTGGCCGGTAAGCTGAGACCTTTGTTCCGCGATCATAAAGAAAACCTCCGGTAGGCAGCCGTGCAACCGTGCGGGCGGTTACGCAACTACAACTGCACTCCATTTCCACAAGAAAGAATTAATATATGCAGTTATGCAAATGCAGACCAACTCTTAAAAAACGCACTTGATATATTCGCTCGCAGTCCATTGTCTGTTCAGGACACGTATTGCGTATGTGTGTGTGTCTGTCTCGTGTGTATATGTGCAGTTCAACTGACTTTGCCTGTTGGCGGTTGATGTATGCAGTGTTCTTCGCAGGTCACGTCAACCTGAACTTGCTTGGATCAAGTTCATTATTGTGAGGCAGATGAATGAAAGATGTCCTTTGAATGCATCTAACCAGCGTTTTCCTATAAAACAACGTTGATTGGTGGTATTGGCTTTTCTACACTTGAACGAATAATGAACTAGGCACACAGCGTGATGACAACTGTTACAAACTACTGTGAAATGCTTGATGTAATACCTAACCTTGTAATGATGAGAAAACCTGTTGACAAAAAATCTGGCCTCTATAGTATTTATATTGATTTTCTGTATTTAGACAGGCTATTGCTATAGGCTGCTATGGAATATCGCAAGAAATATACTTTATGATTTTAACGTAAAGAACGACAGGTAAAATAAAACATCAAATTTATCGTCCAACTTAAGTCTACGCGTAAATTACTGCTTCCAATATCGCCTCACATACAAGAGCTGAAATATTTTCAAGAAACTGTCCCTAACAACTATTATTACACACAGACTACTGAATAGCACTGCAAGAAGAATAAATTCTCATTTAAATAACGCAATTAAAATTTTTCATCGTAAATTTCACCTTACGATACAGCCCAACCAATAAATTGTGATCAGTATGAAAAAACTCTCCGTACCAAACAGGTACGCTGCTGTACTTGGACAGCCGTTAATTTTTTTAGCGGGTTGGGGATTTTATAGCCGACTGACCCTGATGTAAAGTAATGCAGATTGAAGTGACTAATGAACCTATTTTATGGGCAATTCCGTGAACCGATGAGGAATAAGTAATTTAGAAAATTTGCATACTAACATACATACGCCGGTAGGGTACTTGGTTGTTACCATAGTGTACAGACTACTAATGGTAGAGCCCCTAGCAACACAATTTTACACACATCTATCCTAAAAAACCTTATTTTAAAATGGTATGAACTCCTCTGAAACGTCTCCTTTCTCTTTTGGACAGCCATGCTGCCATTTTCGGATTTTCGCTGCCCGAGAAGGTGACTATTTTCTCAAAAGAATCTGTATACAGTGAAAAAATAAACTTATCCAGGTCATTATTACTGATCACTACACTTTCATGGAATTACTCAGAATTCGTTTGCCTTCTACTTCTTCTTCAGTAACGAGGAGTGGTCCATTATCGTCAAAACTTGCATCTGTATTGAGATCTTTGACAAACTGGTGAGATATTGGAGAAATTGCTTTATGTTTTTATTTTGTCATTTATCTTGAAATTTTTAGCTGCACCTTCCCGATTTTGCTGCAAATTGGTAAGGATAAATGGAAAATTTGCACTCAGGGGTTCCTTGTAGAATATTTTGCAAGACCCATTTTACCTCCCACGCCTACTGACGAGGAAGTATCACTGTTATCGCGTTTCAGAAATGGGATAGTATGCTTTTCGGATGTTATAGTACATGTACCTCTCGAAAAAACATCATTGATTCCAGTCGGTTTGTCGGTCCCAATTTTTTGATGTTAGTACATTAATACAGTTCCAACTCCTAGACATATTTCACACATCATAGATTGCTCCGTACATTTGCCCTTAGAACTTAAAACAATACAAAAATATTTTCGACACTATATATGAATAAGACAGCGGAGTACCTACAGCTTATATCAAGGATACAGGATGCTTTCGTTTGTTGTAAGAAAGTTACAAACATACAAGGGACGTCTTTTAAGTTTTGCATATGGAAATAAAACAACCCGGTAGGTAGTTTTAAATGACTATTGTTTTTCGAAGTATTCTCCACGAAGATTAATACACATCTGCATGCGCTCGAACCAATTTTCTAAGCACTTATTCCACTCGTTTGCTGGCAGATCCAAAACGGCATTTTGGAATGCGTCAACTGCTTCTTCTGGTGACTAGAACCATTGACCACGCAGTCTGTTTTTAATTTTCGGGAACGTAAAGAAATCGTTAGGACTTAGATTGGGACTATATAGAGGATGGTCCAATAATTCCACGTTTTCTTCCGTTAAATACTGCCTTGCTTTTTGGGCTGTGTGCGAGCTTGCATTGTCTTGGTGGAGGATGATTTTTCTTTCGGGGTTGATTTTCCGAAGCTTTGGCAAACAAATGGTGGTATATCAATCCGCAGTAACAGTTCTTTGCTCATTAAGAGGAATTGTTGCAATATGACCCGCTTTTGACGCAAATGTCGCGACCATCTTTTTCGAAACACTTCGAGAACGGATGACTTTTGTTGGCTTTTCTGCACCTTGGAACACCCAAACAGTCGACTGTCGGTTATTTTCTCGTTCATAACAGTAAATACACGATTCATCACCAGTAACAATGCTGTACATATTTCTTCAGTTTCCGGAATTGAAACGGTCAAGCGTTTTTTGACACCAATTATCCCTGGCTGCTTTCTGCTCTTCAGTCAACAGGTGGGGTATCCAACGAGAAACTAATTTTCTTAATCCTAATTCTTCATGTAACATTTTTTGAATTGAGGTCTTTGATATCTTCAAGGACGCCTCAATATCGCGATATGTCACATGTCTATCTTCAATGATGAGTTTGCGCACGACGTTTTCCTGGGTGACTGCCGGTTTTGGTGCACCCATCCTGGGATCGTCGCTAAGAGTCCACGTTTGAATTCTCCATACCAACGGGAAATTGTCGACTGATGTGGCGCTTCGTTGCCGAAAACAGATAGTAACTCAGCAAGGCATTCTTGTTGCGATAATTGTCTCTGAAAGTTGTAATAAATTATGACGCGAAAATGTTCTCGGTTCAGTTCCATTTTTCTAATGACTTGATGACACTTAAAAATTCACTGTAGTTAGAACACTGCACGTATTGTTATGAAACTTTCAATTTAAGTTTACTAAAGAGTGAGGTTAAGATTCAGTACTGCCGTTCGATCCGCGCGGCCTACTATGTTTCTATATGCAAAACTTAAAAGACATTCCTCGTGTTTAACAGAGAAATTGAATCAATCAGGTCTGTGCAACAGGTCCGTATAATTAGTCCATAACATACGAACACCGGCACGCCGTTCGCGGTCGTTGGAGTTGTTTCAAGTTTTACGGGAAAATGTACGGGGAAATCTGTGAAGTGTGAAATATGTCTAATAGGTACGAAGAGTTAGCAGAAACATGAAAAAATTGCGATACACCCTCCTATCCCCCTACACTACCCATGTCCCATTTTTTACTGTAAAAATGGTCAGGATCCTCTGAAACTTCAAAAGACAATGATTGAGCAATTTTTATTTACTTAGTACTTGGCCTTTTTGTCCTTCGCTATTGTATCGACGTTAAGAGTTTGGAATTTTCGTCCTTCACATAGTAGTAACCTTGTGTGAATATTTGGTCTGAATCCGTACAGTGCTTTCCAAGTTATAGGCGGTCTAAGGATTAGCAGACTGACAGACCAAAAGACAGATGGAAATAAGTAATTTGGTTTTTTCATATCATAAACATCCAAAAAACATAATATCCCATTTTAAAAAAAATGTTCACCATTACAATACTTCCTCGCCAGAGTAGCGTGGAAGTAAAATCATCTTGGTATAATCATAAAATATTGCAACATGGGTATACCGTTTAGAACAGGGTTTCCCAACCTTTTTTCTTGATCAGGCTTTCCGGAATATAAATTATATTTTCATGCCCCCCTTTTCTTTTTCAATAAATACAAAAACGCACATTAAATACGTACAAAGACTTTTATTTTAATTCTAATAAAAAAACTTTCAAAGTTTAAATAAGCCAATAAATGTTTTTTATCGAAAAACTTGAATAAAATAAGAGTAGGTACTAATGAGACACTTGAGATTGCATGTTCTGTACCAGTTGGTTGATTCTAGGTTCTGCTTTTGCCAGACCTATCATCAGGTCGCTATCGACATCGATTTCTCTGTTTAGTTTTATTTAAAACCAGAGCAGAAAAGTCTGTCTTACATAAGTAAGTTGAAGAAAAAGGAACTAGTATTCGTAAAGCAAGAGAGGCAAGTGTCGAATTAACAGGCAATCTTTTGATCAAAAATTTCTCCAATGTTAAAAGATGGAAGTCATCTTTCATGGACGAATCAGCCTTCATTTCTAGAAATTCTTCCAGAACTTCATCTGGTAATTGTGACACAACGACAACAAATGGATTCCTTGTCATGTGTCATATTGGTGACTCTGAATTGATGTCTTGATAGTATCGGCGAAATTCGCCTTCCAGCGCTTGCAATGTAAGCTTTTAAATTTGCGTCCAGTATAGTATGTTATTTTTAATTGCTTTGAACAGCCGAGAAAAAGATATAACATTTTCAGAAGACACTTGAAAGTTGAAGCTTTGATATGAAAGCCTGAATATAATCATAATTGCTTATTATAGTGTTGTTTCTGCCCTGAAGTTTCAAGTTTAGCTCATTCAAGGAGTCAAATATGTCAGTTAAATAACCCAACCTCCATTGAAATATGTCATCTTTGTACATTGTCAAGAAATCTTGTTTTTCTTTGAACTCAAGAAATAAAATTACCTCTTTCTTCAATTCATAAAGGCGAGCAAACATGTTGCCTTTGGACAGCCAGCGAACTTCTATATGGAACAGAAGAACTTTATGATCAGAATCGAGATTCTCGCAAAGTAAAGCAACCGACTGTTCAAAGAGCTGCTCTTGAAGTAGTTTATAATCCTTATAGCCGAGTCCAAAGTCTGGCGTTATTTCTGTGGCAATATTTTGGAAGCCAAAGCTTGCCGATGAATAAAACAATGTGTACTAACCATTGCGGGATTGTTTTCCTTGATCGTACACCTATTATTGCAGGTGCTCCATCTGTGCAAAGTCCAATGAGTTTCTTCCAATCCAAATCATTTATGCAACAACATTTGGCATTGAATTAAATATATCTTCAGATGTAGTACTTGCTGTCAAAGATTAGGAGTACAAAATCTCGTCTTGAATGATATCGTTGCCGATGTATTGAACATAAATTAACCGTGCACAATTAACGATGTCGGTGGATTCATCGCAACTAATGGCAAAAAATGGCGATAATTTTACTTCGTTAATTATTTGTGACTTTATGTCTGCTGTAATGTCATCAATTCTACGCTTCATATTGTGTTATTCGAAAGAGAAATAGACTTAAGGACACATGGTTTTACTAATTCTTCACCAGTATGAGGTTTCTTTTGCTTTGCTATCATAAAAGCTATTTCAAATGAAGCTTTGAGATGCTCCGATACACCTGTGTGATCACTTACCGATTTGTCCACTCTCGCTTGAGTGATTTTGCTTTAGAAGAAAAAACTCTTCCGTCTTCAAAACCAGAGTAGGATGTTGTTGCTTCAAATGCCTTTCAAGGCGATTGGGCCTCATGCTATCATTACTTCAAACTTTCATACATATCACATACTGAGGCAATTGTAACTCGTCTTTCTCTATGAAGGTTAATCCAAACTTAACGTAATCTTCGGAAAACCTTTTTTTCGCTGTCATTTTGCACCTATAACAATAAAACAAATAAGTAATAAATAAATAAGCAAAATAGCTACATTTAAGTAACTAATTATATGCCCATTATTTTATCTTAATACCGGGAGATTTATATTTTTGTAGGCAGGTTGACGTTATAAAAGTAATTTTAAATACATTTGGAATCAATATTAGTTACTTAAACTTCGTCGTTTCAAAATTATTTCGCCACGTTGGTTTGACTGTGATGTGGTAAAAAAGTCTTTATAGCCGATCTATGAACGCGTCTCCACTCACTCAAAAATTTAGTAAATTAAATAAAAATGGTAACTGAAGTTTGTAAATACACAAAATTACCTTTTAACAGTGATATACAATAATTTGACACACTCAAACAGATTTCTCAACAAAACATGTACATCGAAACGTAAAATTTTTCGCAAGTTTGTAGGAATGAATATCACAGATGCTCATCCGCGTCTGGTAGGAAGACAATTGTTTTCTAAGCGATGAATTTTAAGCAGAGCGCGGTGGAGGTGCGCGCGGATTTCATGTTGTGACATGTCGAAACTTGTATAAACTGCGATTGTCGACGCCGGGTTTTGAAACAGCGGTTGATAGAATAAGTGAGTATGATATTTAATTTCTAATTTTATGCTTGTAAATTAAACATTACATTGTAATGTTATTTGTTAATGTTGTTTGTTTATTTTTTTGTTTTTTCTTTCTAAAATGCAAACGCTTTCTGCCCCCTTGACATCTCTCTATGCCCCCCTTGGGAGGCGCGCCCCCCTGGTTGGGAACTCCTGGTTTAGAGGCCCAACAGCATGTTTACGTAATGGTACTTTCATTGCTTGTCAGGACTTAATTATACTAAGTGACATATAAATCCGAACACCCAGTTTAAATGGTTTTATTTTAATAAAATTTTGTATAAGTACTTAATGAAGCATAATAAGTAAATGATAAAAATTTCAAAATGATTGCGCTGCTTTAAAGCCCTTTGACCTTTAATAATGTGTGGATGCACCCTGATGTGCTACGCATTCTCCAACGCGCCTAGGCATGCTTCTGATCAGGTGGTCAATGTCCTCCTGTTGTATCTCATTCCATGCAACCACCAACTCTTCTCGAGGTGCTTCTAGAGTCTGAGGAGGACGTTGCAAATTGAGCAATCTCCTACTCATCATATCCCACACGTGCTTAATTGGGGATAAGTCGGGAGATCTTGGTGGCCATGGTAACAATGTGACATCATTATGTTGAAAGAAGTCTATTGTGACTCTTGCAACATGTGGTCGGGCATTATCTTGTTGGAAAGTTGGATCTGCCAGGGTGTCAAAAGATGGGGTTCTAGAACTTCGTGGATATAACGCTGCGCGTTCATGTTACCTCTGATGAAGATTAAAGGTGACCTGAAAACATAAGCTATAGCACCCCAAACCATAACTCCAACAGTGTGATGAACATGTCTTTTAACAAAAAACTGTGGATTCCTCCTTTCACCATGTCGCCTTCTAACCCTGGCCGACCATCGTGCATGCCTAAACAAAATCGAGACAATACTGTTGCATTCCTGATCCCAGAGTGACCGTTGTCTGCACCCCTCAAGTTACGTCGGTGTTCTCGAGTTAAAGGGAGGACCCAGTGTGGCCGGTATGAAAACAAGCCAAAACTTCTCATTCGTCGGTAAACACTTCGCATGCCAATAGGTCTTCCATGTTCTGCAAACCATTCATTTGCAATAGACCTGGTAGTGGAGAAACGGTCCCTTAAGGCCAATAATCTTAGGCGGCGATCTTCACGGTCTGTTGTTCTACGGCGGCGTCCAGTGCTCCTTGCTCTTTGCGTACGGCCTTCTCGAAGCCATGCCTGACAACACCTAACCACAGTAATTTTTTCACTTGTTATTTACAGTAAGATAAATACATTCACCAACTTTTATTAAAATAAAACCATTTAAACTGGGTGTTCGGATTTATATGTCACTTAGTATAGTTACTAAAACTATTTTATGGAAATAATTTAATCCACATTCCATACCCGGTACATATATCTACCAGGATTGACTTAGAACGACGGGCAAAAATATTCCTTGAGAAGGAATAAAAAGTGCAGGAACGCTACTTTGTAAAGACTGTCCATCGCTGGGAAAAATAGCTATATTTTTGGGAATTTGACTGTACCGTTCATGAAGTCCTAACATGGGAATAAGAGTGACTTTACTGTTTATGGTCTATAAACTTTGGTTGTTAGGTACTGTGCCTATGAAGCCAGTTGCAATCTTTGGAATGAGCTTCGATCAGATTTAAGAGGTACAGCGTAGGTGGCACTTGGCACAGTTTGCATGAAGATTTTTTTGCTTGCAGTTTTAAACGCAGCTAAGCGAAACTGACGAGCGAGCGTTCTTAAGCTGGTATTAAAAAGACATGTTATTACAGAACATTCCCATTGAAGGGTAGTACGTTCTGTTACTAAGAAAATCGTCAGCTCTTGGTCGGTTAAGGGAAGAAAACTGATGTTGGAACGCTTACATGGTACGGTCAACTAATTTAAGTCTAATGATGTCTAAATAAAAGCGAAGCGCCTCACTTTATCTACTCTGTGTTTTTATTGTGAAACTTTGTACAAACTTTGTCCACTAGAACAAAGCATCGTTGCCAATCGAGTTTTCACATACCCGGACTTTTTTGATACCCGGGTATCGGGTGCTTTTTTTTAAATACCCGGGTATCCGGGTCGTACCTGGTTATTTTGAATTGTAAATAAATCTTCATATTATCCATCAGTTTGGGGCGAGAGTTCGTATTCTCAAGTTGTTTGTTTTCTGTGCATAATTGTAAATGCGGAACCGGTGAAACGTGGGTGACTGGTTGGTGATTGTGACTATTAAGGGGCTACTGCTACGTGGCAACGAGTTTTGGAAACAAAATTGCATATATCTGGCATTTGGCGCACCTGCTGCAGTACGTCCGTAAATCACTTGGTAGTGTAGTAGGGTACACACTAACTGAATGTGGATTGACAGATAAAATATTATCTTGGAATCTTGTGTTACTTTGTTTTCAGTCACAAGCACCTCCGTAAAAGTCATTTGTTCCAAAAATCCATCTGCAGCAGGTACATATATTAAAAGCAATAAATAAATAATGTCAGGTGGCTTGTACCATAATTTATACAAACCTATTACATTTTAAGGACATATTTAACGTCGATAATCGCCGGTTAGCTATTCATCGTTTAAAATTGATAAATGAATAGAAATGTAAACAAATAATGGATCATGAGGATGACAAGTGCCCACACTCTTGTATACAAGTGTTTGAGCACGGATACTCCAGGAAGTATCTTCGAATATCTGTTTGAAAAAAAATCTGATTCGGTTTTACTGCATAAAGTTATTCGTTTTTTTTTGCACTGTAAAAAAAATTTCTAGGTATTTTGGGCTGTCTTCAACAAAAAAAGTTCTTAATGAACCTTTCTCTAAGGCGTCAGTAGCTTGTTGAAAATGAATAAAATTTCGAAATTTTTCTTAATATCTAGGTACCCGGGTTTTTCGTCAAGTATTACCCGGATCCGAAAGCTCTTGAATACCTAGATATACCGGACCCGGGCAACCGGGTCCGAAAACCGTAAGTTCGAAGAAATTCTGTTCACACAGTAAATACATATTTTCCTGATATTTGACTTAATTTGAGCGACCAAAACGTTATCCACCTGACATATTAATAATCTGTGACCAGTTACCGTTTACGTCTGTTTAAGTTCAGGGAATATAATAAAAAATGAACGAATTGCTGAGTTTGTAACCCTCGTCACGTAATACATTATCAAATTCATTCCGCTAACTGGACGTCTGGCAGTCGAATGCGGTGCGGCGTGCAAAAACCGCACATCGGTTCAGAGAATCAGCGGCAAAGTATAGTGACGCAAGGGAAGTAAGATCACTGACGGAACAACTTGGCCTGTCGCATCCACACCAAACAGTAGTTATATATCAAGAAAACACACTTCGTAGAATGCCTTTGTAATCTGCCGGTTGGTCTCATTGTCATTGGGGTGTCTTCCATTATAGTAGGGGAGCCGACTGCAAATTTTACTTCCCACGCCTACTGGCCAAATAGCATTGTTTCACTGATTCGTCTTCCTGACTGATTCCGTCGGTCTGTCCGCTTATCTTATAACCGCCTATAACTTGAGAAGTACCGCTCAGATTTCGATGAAATTTTCACACAATGTAACTACTATGGGTATCCGGGTCGTACCTGGTTATTTTGAATTGTAAATAAATCTTCATATTATCCATCAGTTTGGGGCGAGAGTTCGTATTCTCAAGTTGTTTGTTTTCTGTGCATAATTGTAAATGCGGAACCGGTGAAACGTGGGTGGCTGGTTGGTGATTGTGACTATTAAGGGGCTACTGCTACGTGGCAACGAGTTTTGGAAACAAAATTGCATATATCTGGCATTTGGCGCACCTGCTGCAGTACGTCCGTAAATCACTTGGTAGTGTAGTAGGGTACACACTAACTGAATGTGGATTGACAGATAAAATATTATCTTGGAATCTTGTGTTACTTTGTTTTCAGTCACAAGCACCTCCGTAAAAGTCATTTGTTCCAAAAATCCATCTGCAGCAGGTACATATATTAAAAGCAATAAATAAATAATGTCAGGTGGCTTGTACCATAATTTATACAAACCTATTACATTTTAAGGACATATTTAACGTCGATAATCGCCGGTTAGCTATTCATCGTTTAAAATTGATAAATGAATAGAAATGTAAACAAATAATGGATCATGAGGATGACAAGTGCCCACACTCTTGTATACAAGTGTTTGAGCACGGATACTCCAGGAAGTATCTTCGAATATCTGTTTGAAAAAAAATCTGATTCGGTTTTACTGCATAAAGTTATTCGTTTTTTTTTGCACTGTAAAAAAAATTTCTAGGTATTTTGGGCTGTCTTCAACAAAAAAAGTTCTTAATGAACCTTTCTCTAAGGCGTCAGTAGCTTGTTGAAAATGAATAAAATTTCGAAATTTTTCTTAATATCTAGGTACCCGGGTTTTTCGTCAAGTATTACCCGGATCCGAAAGCTCTTGAATACCTAGATATACCGGACCCGGGCAACCGGGTCCGAAAACCGTAAGTTCGAAGAAATTCTGTTCACACAGTAAATACATATTTTCCTGATATTTGACTTAATTTGAGCGACCAAAACGTTATCCACCTGACATATTAATAATCTGTGACCAGTTACCGTTTACGTCTGTTTAAGTTCAGGGAATATAATAAAAAATGAACGAATTGCTGAGTTTGTAACCCTCGTCACGTAATACATTATCAAATTCATTCCGCTAACTGGACGTCTGGCAGTCGAATGCGGTGCGGCGTGCAAAAACCGCACATCGGTTCAGAGAATCAGCGGCAAAGTATAGTGACGCAAGGGAAGTAAGATCACTGACGGAACAACTTGGCCTGTCGCATCCACACCAAACAGTAGTTATATATCAAGAAAACACACTTCGTAGAATGCCTTTGTAATCTGCCGGTTGGTCTCATTGTCATTGGGGTGTCTTCCATTATAGTAGGGGAGCCGACTGCAAATTTTACTTCCCACGCCTACTGGCCAAATAGCATTGTTTCACTGATTCGTCTTCCTGACTGATTCCGTCGGTCTGTCCGCTTATCTTATAACCGCCTATAACTTGAGAAGTACCGCTCAGATTTCGATGAAATTTTCACACAATGTAACTACTATGCCAAGCACTCAAAAGCTTTGTAGTTTTTGGAAAGAGCATTCATGCAGGCAATAAAAAAATAAAAATCGCTCAAACTTTGCCTTTTGATGTTTCAGAGGATCCTGATGACTTTGGAAAAAAATAGGAGTTAGAGGTTGAAGTATGAGGGTAGGGTATAGTGGACATACATTTTTTGACGTTGGAATATTTATGTTCCTCAAACTCCAGTAATTCTACGCCCCAGTTAGGCATATTTGATTCAACATATATGTCTCCATACATTTACCTTGAAAACAACACGCACAGTCCATGAAATGTGAAGCATATCTAGCGTTATCTCGCCTGAGGTGTATGGTATCTTTCATTTCAGTCTAGTTCAGCCCATTTAACATTTCCCTCCATGTTGTGTAAGCTCAAAGATATACGTTTTCTAGATCGGTCTCATTGCATTGAACATTTTCTTGTCACAGTATTCCACATTTATGCTTGTCACTGTCACTATGACAACTTGCTGGTCATGGGCATGCGATTGGAACGTATTTTTCCTTGATCTTCGATATGTTACATGTCAGCAGATTCAACTGCAATGTCGGCAGTTTTTGTTAAATGTATTGGAGTATTTTCAGAAGGTCAATTTCAACGACGGTGCTCCATCTCCCAATTCATGTTTAATATGTTAAGGATCGGCAATTTTCCGAATAGTTCTGTGACGTGAGCGCTAAAGACCGTGAAAAGAACTATATAGCAGGGTATCCGCAGGAGTTCTTGGTCAAAATGACAAAGACAAGTCACAACGACTACAAATTTCATGTTATCGTTTTTCTCTAGGCATATGGTAATTTGATCATGTTTGCAAAGAGAAAATACTGTTGTTGTTTACGTTTTGCTTATAAAATTTTAGTGAATATTAAACCAGAATATCTTCCAAGTAAACTCAATAAATTTTAAAATATAAATCAACTTGTCTACCAGAAATCGAATGTAATGAGTTATAGATAAACACTTGACGTCTCTGTATAAAGAGAGCATCTCTTATAATGTTGCCAAACTGTACAATAATTTTTAGCAGTACACACTTACTCCCTCAACACTATGTCCATCTAGTCTACCTAAGTAGTTTTGATATAAATTGAACACAAAGTATTTTTACTAAAAAATATAAATTTGTAGCAATAGATTGCTGATAATCGTCATGTTGTAAGTTTGAACCGTTCAAAGAAGTTGACTTTACATTAACTAGGTAATAGGACTTTACGGTTAGATTGGAAAATATCTTTACGGTACCAATCCACCGATTTAATGCGCTTAAGGTATTAGTGACTTATGCACGTCTATTATTACATACTGCATATACATATAATGTAAAAGAGTTGAATACAGGCATCTTATCAATATTGTTATCGTTGGGGAACGATCCTCTAAAGTCTCTTCTTGGTATATGGTGAGATATGGGTTTTGTCCAAGCATCCTCGTCTAATCTTGTCTTAAGAACAGTCGAACTATTCTTGTGGTGTTCAACTGTTTTTTGTAATAGCTTGAAGGCGTTCTGTTGCAATCCCAAAATGTGATGGTGTTTTTGGTATACCTGTTGAAGATAGAACCATTGGTACAACAGTCACTTTAGCGAGATACCATATTTTTTAATTTCGTCTGCTAGTTCAGCATATTTACGTTTCTTTTCTGCTATTGTGCTCAGTAAGTTATATGCGTTAGGTACAGCTATGGCAATAACGAATGCATCTTTTGCTTGTTTATCTTTCCACGTTATCTGGTTTGTTGCATGAGATTATTCGTATTATTATTATTTTTTTGCATCACAGATTTTCTGGTATTCCTGATTGACAGCAAAATTAATCCCGAGGTCAGCCAAAGGCAAAGTTAGTTCAAGAACTTCACAGGTACCGAGTATTGTTGCATTCTGGCGTTCCCTTAGATAGCTAAGGTCAAGCTTCAAGATTTTGAGGTTTGTGTGGAAGTTTTTATGGATTAGGCAGTTGGAAGAAACAAAAATGGCAGTATAAATATTATTATTATATGTTAAATTATCTGAAGTCACTTGCCTGTTAGCTTCCATGCTGTCGGCGAGATAGATGTATACTCTGGTACCAAAAAGGAAGAGAGCAGCAAAACACATCGCACGCCACTGCCAGCGAGGCATCTCATTGGATATGGCGGGATAAGTACGCACCAAGTTTGCCAATTCAGAGGCACGCCGCGCTAGAAGTAGCATAAGATGTGTTTTGGTGCTGTCTTCTTTTAGGGTACCAGAGAGGAAGAAACTTGTTTGATCGCTGAGCGATTCTACTACTTGTGTCTATACGCTTTGACCGAAATTATGAAGTGGGTTCCAGTTTACGATGAGGTGAGCGGTTTTTAGATAATTACCCACTGAGAAGTTCCAAATAGCGAGTCAGCGCGGTGCTTCCATGAAAAAATTGCATTCTTTTTGTGCCTTTGGTTGGCGATCGGCACTGTGCTGGTGGTCAGAAGAGCGCAGATATTTCTTGGCTGCCTACTATCAATTGGAATATAAAAAAGTGTTCGAAATCATTGGAAGTTCAGCAAGAACTAGAATCCTTACGTTTGCTAGAAGGTTGAAAAATTAGTTATCTGGCCGAACCAGAACCAGATATGCTCAAAATTCCTTTTTATTGAACGACGCCTCGGCCCAACGGTGACTTTGTTCAAGTTTAACTGACATCTTTTAATAATACATACAGGTATTATTCATGTCTTCCAGGAGAAGTTTCAGATGTTACATACAAAAATGTTATTCTGCAATTTTTTGAGAAACTGTACTGCGGTTTCGTGCAGCAGGTGCTCCTCACTACTTACCTCGCGATATGTGCAGGCATTTGGCAAAAATGAATACAGTCGTGATGGATAGAGTACTGAATTCAGGCTCAAAAAAACCTTATGGCTCTCACTCCTAATGTGGATTATACAATTTTTGATTTATGGTGACCTATTTGTACCGGGACTCGAAAGCGCAGAAAATTGTAGAGTTTTATATTCCGGCCACGAAGTGTCAACTTTTTAATTCCCGCAGGATTATGTAGTACTTAAAATTGATACTAGGTAAAATGTGTTTTGAGACTACGTCAGAAATTTGTGACATTTCCTTGGATGTCATACGCAATGTCATATTTTTTCTACTATAGGTCAACTAGTGAACAATTTGATGTTACGTTGGATTTTTTTGACGTCACTAACAATTTGCGAACTTTGGTCACGGCCACCTTCACTCCACATGCTAAAATTCACATGATATCACATTTTGATAGAATGGCTGCCATATAGATAAATATTCTGAAGGATCCTTTGAAATTGGACAACTTCGCTATCCTATATTACTTAGGGCTATATCGTCAGTCCTTTCTACAATCGTAGGACACTTTTACGGTCTCCTTGATTTTCATAGTTTTTTACAGAAATAAAAAACACTTTTCGAACTATTGTTATAATCAACGACCCCAGCTTCAGTCTACTACTAAGGATTTTGGGAAGTATGTCTTGTGTACACACTGTGATACAATGAAGTGGTGTATCCATTTTTATCTTTAGTGTATGCTTTGTACCTGTTTTCACAAACAAAACAGCGCTTCAGTGCAGGTTGCGTAGTTGCCTTATGTCAGGCAACACGATGAAATAGAGAAAAGTTCTGAATATATATGCCTTTTCGCGGATTTTGACGGGCACGGTAAAATTACAGGATTTGCTTTCATATATACATCTCCCTAACACATACATATGCAGTGGAGGTTTGTTGGCGTACGCTCTCAGACATGCGCTCTCAGTTGTGTTTTGCTGCCCTAAACATCTCGTCAACGTATGTGTATGCTTGTCACTGTCACTATGACAATTCGCTTCCAATGGACGTACGATTTTAGTTTACCTTTTGTTGATCTTCGATACAAAACGTAACAATGCCTGAAAATACAATATCGTTGTCGATAGTCTGTGTTAAATTATTTGGAGTACTTTAGGAAAGTGAAGGAAAACAACGCCAATCACCCAATTCACGTGTATATGCAAGAGCGAGTAGTAGCTGCGCAGTCTGCAATTTACTTTGGGTGACCTTAATTTACATGGTACACTTTATCAATCTGTTTACTTATTCCGTATGCCATTATGACGTAAGCGCTAAAAATCGTGATAGGAACTATATGTTTGTGTGCCTCTTATAAAGGCTTAGAAATATTTATCTGCGCCATATTTCATATTATAAAACGAAGAGGAAAGGTTTGTCATGACCAGAGACGAAGTGTGCCATTCATTTAAAAAATCTCTCTAGGTGATAGTGGAAAATGTTGTTTGATACAGCGCCATTTTACAGGTGGTCAAAAGTGGCGTCAAGTAGATTGATTCTGAGCATTTTCATATAGACATATATTTTTATTAATTTTTTGTACATTTACGCTACTGACATAAATTACCTACGCGCCTTGGAGTAAGGTGCCGAGAGTGTTGATGATTTCAATAATAGTCCAATATTAATTTTTGATTCATATTTACATCACACATGGAATCAGGGCAAACCTTTTGGAGGATAACATCTATTGGCCTGTATACCAATATACCGTACAGAGTGTAGAGCGACAGGATCGTTATTTGATGCATCTAGCACTTAGGGATCGATTTTTCACAACAAAGGCAGTTGCGAACTAATGAGGACAGTAAGTTTATCGCCGAATAAGATATTTTGAACTGTTTTCATACGGGCCTTATCTTGTACAACCTCTGAGCCCATAGCATCGTCGGCAACGATTGGTATGGAGTAAGAAGAGACTTGAATGGAATATGGAATGGAACAGTCGTGTTCAGCGATGAGTCCAGATTATGATTGGGCACACATTATGACCATGCAAGAGTAAGGAGAAGACGTGGTGAAAGACGGAACGGAACGTCCAATATTCTATCGAACGGCATAGTCATCGCAACTGTGGGTGTTATGGTATGTGGTGCCATTGCTTACGGCAGTAGGTCACGATTAATGTACTTTGGAGGTAGCATGACTGCCCAGCGCTATATCCACGAAATTTTACAACCACATCTGCTTCCCTTTTTGGAAACATTGCAAGTTCCACTTTTTCAGCAGGACAATGTACGACCTCATGTCGCACGTGTTAGTTTAGACTTTTTACAAGCATATGGAGTAAATCTGCTTCAGTGGCCTCCTCGACCTCCAGACCTCTCCCCCATCGAAGATGAATCGGACATGATGGGAAGAAGGTTGCAACATTCACCGCACCCTCCACAAACATTGGAGGCTCTACGAAAAAAAATTCAGATGGCCTGGGATACAGTAAGCCAAGAAGACATTAATCTAATCAATGCTGCGACGATTCAGCGAATGCGTAGCAAACAGAGGAGCTTCAACACATTATTAACATTAAGGTGGGATATCTAAGCTATTTTGCGAAGTTAACATTTTAATCACTTCCTATTTATCATTTGACCTAAGACTTGTAAAGATATGCATAAAATTACAGCACTCCTAGTCGATGTATGTATGTATATATGCAGGGGGGCGGGGGGCGGGGGAGGGGGGGTTGGCTTTGGACAGAATTCCATTAGCCACAGATTTTCTAAATTTGTATTACGTGGTGCTTTATATCACCACCTTAGCTAATTTTGTGAACTCAACTATTTTGTCCAGGATGGACTTTCTGTTTAAACTTAGCAGTGATGACAATTGGATTGGAAGTGATATCTGATCCTCCAAAATTATTCTTTGTATTAAATTAGAAACATGAGGCTCATTTTCTGCGCATTCAAAGAAAATATGATTTAAATCTGCTACTTTGGTGTTGTCACAGTCGCATCAGTTATTATCAATGATTCCCATTCTGTAGAGGTGGTCTCCTAATCTACCATGATTTAGTCTCAATCTCGTTATTAGGGTAGAGTAAAATCTTCCGACTTGATAATTGAAAATGTGTGCACTCCTAGTAGATGTTGCATTTTCTATTTCTTTTAGTATATTATTATTAGGCGTAGATCGTGTTTAATATAGACTGCTGCCACCACGCGGAATGTAAGTGTCACCGCGCGGTGACAAATCAATATCGTTTAAATAATAGAACGCCTTTTACGGATATCAAAGATGTATAACCCCCACCCACTACAACCCTCTATTTTGAGACTTGTGAAACATTTTTTGAAAATGACTAAGATACTCTGAAACGTCGATTTTAATAAGCGTGGATCACACATTCAACCAATAAGGAGCGTCTTTGAAGTAATGGATCTAACCAGTATGGCCAATTTTTCGTAAAAATTTTGTGAAAATCGGACGGTTTGTGTAAGATTCCCATATTAAATCCAGAAATACGTAGCTTAGTTATAAAATTAAACCCATTTGCTTGTATGTGTTCGGACACAAAATTATCGCCCGTGGGCACAAAGTGCACAAATGAAAAAGAAGCCTGGATAAAGTCTTATACAATGTCTAGATTTAAATATGACAGCAAATAAATAAGCATTTTCTTGAAGATGACAGTGTCACTGGATGGTGAATTTTGAAAAAAGGATATATTTTTTAAAATGCATCAACATGTACATTACGATTAATTAAGTTGATGAACTTTCGGAAGACATACCTACATAAAATTACAGAATGCTTATTATTTAACAAGCATCGGGTAAATATTCAATTTATTTGACTACCGTGCGATTTCTTACTAACTATGTTCAACTCGTGCTTAGAGCAAATTTGCCTGGCTTATAACAGTAATATCACTGGCGTCATCTATCGACATTTGGCAATGTAGGATTGAAAATGTCGTCGTAGCTTCACGACCTTCTACTGGAATACCTTGCTACTGTAGAGTTGCAGCTTTCGTTCATGGTCCACCGAGATCCAGCCTACATCATGCTGAGGAGTTTCCGAATAGCAAGAAACAGCAGTCCAGGGTTGGCCATCTGTGGTCAGACAAACAAAATTATATTACTAGATCGTTCCCTTGAACACTTCAGCAAGGATTGTAACGAGAAGCTTACTCGATCAGTAACATCTATCATTGATTTTGATGTACATCTGTTGATGAATGAGTACTTCAGTTTTAACCTTGAATCCTTACGTACAACTATTGTAACATTTTAATGTATAGAATGATATGTGTTCTGTCAAGTTCTGTGATGTTGCGGTGGCCCGCCGTTGCGAATTGGCATAACAGCGGCGCGTCATTGTCCGAATATCTGCATAACATCTGAATATCAACCTGTAGGCTGAAATCCTCCGGTCTCCTCTGAGAGCCTACCTGCCACCCATCGTAACGCGTCAGCCACCAATGAGGTCGTCGACTTCATGATCTTAAACCAGTCGAACACCGAAGACGTTTTGCCCGTTTGCCTTTTGCCTCAGTTCGTCGTGAAACACTCACAGACGAAACAATGTCAATTTGCGAATCAGAATACCGTTGCATACTCCTTACAAGTTTTTATTTAAC